CAGCTTTGCAGGAGCAGTAACTACACATGTATATACACATGGAATTTAAATTGTACATAAATTTCCTAATAAGAGTTTCAATTTGAAGAGAAAAAGAAAAGATGACAATGATAGTTATTATAATGTACATGTTATATAAGATACACCTCTGAGTCACATTTAGGAATTGTTCACAAATTTTGACAATTGTATAGAGACATATTTATATATTGTTATTTTGTGGGTGGGTAGAGGAATCTACAGCAACACACTTTAATGTTCTTTCTGACTGTGTTCTTCCTTGTCCGGACAGATTCTCTGGGATGCAGCGAGAGAGATAAAAGATAAAGCATATTGGACGGAACTTTTCAAAAAGAAATTTATATAAATAGTGTTTACACAGGTTATGATGGAAATAAGGTTACAATCATAAGTAGGCAGAGAAAGAAGGGAAATATTGATGGATTTGATTATATATAGTTTATCTCACCTCCTTTGTTTTGTATATTACTCTCAAGTAACACCTCTAACTTTCAGCCTTTTCATTAAAGACAAATGTAAAAAAATGTTCCTAGATGTAATTTGAAAGTTATGTTTTTTTGTGTATTTAGAATAATCTGTTCCATGTCTACCATAATGAGGGCAACCACCAACGTTGTGAAACAGACGTGACAGAAACGTGATTGCCGGCTTGCCGCCTGCCTGCTGTCCGCCAGGAAAATAACGTGACGTCTGCTACCAACGTCGTGTCTACGGTGCACAATATTAATAATGATGTCCCTTGTTTATGTGAACCTTGATTGATCATACAATTTTATATATAGGACAAAAACACCATTGTTGTTTTGTTGACCATTTTCTTGTAATTATTTGATTTCTTTTTTTTTTTTTCAAATGTATAAAAATGCCTTTTGTTTTGTTCCTATCTTCTTGTTTGTATTTTTTCGACTTCTCCTATGTATATGCTGTACTCAGTTCTCGTGAAAAAAAGGACCAAACCACAGAATGTATGCCCTGAGAACATTGGGGTTTTTTTGCCATTCTTTTACCAAACAGCCTCATTTTTTTTTCTCCCACTTTCACTTTCAGAAGGGACCTTTTGTTTCAGCGACTCGATCATTGTGGAACCCCAGATTTGTTTTCTGTGCTCTGTGTACATGTCATGTACGACTCATACCCCCTGGCGGTAAATCTGAACAAATCCCACCGTTTATATTGTACAGGCTATTTCTCTGTACTTTTTAGTGACACCTTTTCTTTCTGTGTGAGCGAGGTACAATAAAATGTCGTGAACAGAAATGTACATAAGTATAAGGAAAATCAATAAGTAAAACTTTTTTTTTAAATTAAGGATTTTTATTTTTAACCTTTTTTGAGGATATTTTTATTTCTCTAACAGCCAGTGTCGTAGTGCAAGGTAGCTTTAGTTAGAAGTAGTGCGTTTATACTTTTATTATACAGTTCATGGATGATGATCTGTTCCTATTCAAGAGTGCAAATTTTGGGGTTTGTTTTTGAAATCGCAAACAGATTTGAGGTGAGGTGGGGGAGGGGGGGTGGAGACAAACAGCGTCTTTTCTTTTGAGTTTTGCAGATTTTAAAAAAATAAATTTAGGACTTGCTTTTCTGGCTTTTGACAAAAGCGTATGTATTTTGAGGGATCTTTAGTCATATTTGGGTTTTTTTACCAGACTAATCTTGAATATGTACAATACGCCATGACATTTTTGGTTCTGATAACGAGTCTGTTCAGAGACAGATGACCAATGTGATTCGTCTGCTTCTCGCTTAGACGGCACTTTTTTTTTCCTTCAGAACTTGTGGTTCTGTTTTTGAGAAAAGAGACAATTGTTTTTTTAATAGAGTGTGCTATTTTTACAGCAAAAACGTGTGTTGGAATTGTTCTAACTGTCACCATTTCTGGGGAATGTAGGCCAATGTAACGATGTTCTTGGCTTTTGTTGAAGAATTTGCAATACTGTTCTTGGGTTTGATAATGTCGCCAGTGTGGGCCGCTCTTTGTGTTCTTACTTTTCATGACCTCTGTGATTAGATCGGCTAACCCACATACAGAGTATCAAAATTGTTTGTACTTGACGAATCGGTAGTAAATTATCCATTTCATATTGTTTCACCGAAGGGAGAAGTTGATATAGACAGGAAATGCTCCTACAACGGTACACGTACAATTAGTGCGGAACAACGCGCCAGGTGCCAGACGCTAGGTTGCTGAGTGACAAAAACCAACTCCACAACTCTGTGTAAGACTAGCACGTCAAATGTCACTTTGGAAAATGACGTAACCAACTCCACAACTCTGTGTAAGACTGGCATGTCAAATGTCACTTTTGAAAATGACGTTTGGCTGAGTCTTTACTCAAAGCAGCTGAAATAAGTATTTTGCTTTTCCTTTCAATTTTCCTCTGCTGGGGTTAGCCGATCGGATCACAGGACTGAGATTCTGTTTTGTTTGGGGTTTTTGTGTGTTCGGCCGATGTGAATGTCAGCGAGTAGGGAGAAGCACAACATCTCCACGGGTGGCCTTTTCTACACGGAGGACGAGCAAGCCTTTGGACAAATTTCCTTCCTTCCTTCCTTCCTTATGATGCAGAGTTGCCATATATTCGAATTTGCAATTTATCTTCTTCAAAATGTGATGATAATTTCATTCAAAGCTTTCATGGTCGTTTTATTATTTTATTTATAGCTTTTAACAGTGGTTTGTTATTTTTTGGGTGAAAAAGAAAAAAAAGAAGAGAGATAAATGTGAAATGAATCTACTTGCACATTTGTTTGATTGCTAAAAAAGTCAATCAACACAATGGACCATCAGATGATTAGAATTATTAATCACCAAAATAATTTGTGTTGTAATTGTTTAAAATATTTCATACTGTAATTTAAAATAAGGAACTGCGGAAAAGTTAATTTTGGAGACAATAAATCTTGCTAGGTATATCGGTGAGAAAGACATCAGTTTTCTCTGAAAGCTCTGAATGAAATCTGGGGTGATTCCTTGAAATACCCAGGTATAGGAGCTAGCACAAAATCAATTCTCTTCTGTTCTGGGCAGCTTTTGTTCCATAAATATCTCTCCGTGCCAGAGGTACCGGCCAGCCTGAACACAGCTTTGCACACACAGATGGTGTGTGTAGTAACAGGGGGGAGGGGGGGGGGCGCTATCTTAGCACCCTTGTTTTTCTTTCGTAATCGGTACATGTAGTCATATGATTTGGATTGGGAAGTAGTTTCCGAGTTTGGGAACTTGGAACTGAATTAGTTTTGAAACTGTACAATCTGATTAAATTAATTTCTTTTTCTTTTTTTTCAATTGATTAACGTGTCTAAACGGGGAAACACAGTGGCTTGGCTGAAGATAATCCTGCAGATTTCTGTTGAAGTAGATTCAACTGTTTAAAATTTCACACAAGTCCTCATGATAATGAAATACATGTAGCTCAGTACAGTAAGAATCTGTTGTAGGTCATTTTTCCAAGTGGCATGTGCTGGAGCCATACTCTGAAACAGTTGGAGTGTTATAGTGGACAGCACTAAGTCGGTGGTCTTTTCTTCTAGGTCACAGGCAAAGTCTGGTTCAGGCTGGTTACTTAATCGCGACGCTTGAGTAGCACTGAGAAACACAACACCCTAAAGAGATAGCATATATATATAGATATATATATACAACCACCACCCTTGCCCCAACTTCCCCTTCCTCCTCCTCCCCCCCTCTCCTTCCTTCCCACTC